GACACACCATTTGAAAATCACAGAACTACACTGATTTTTTGTTTCAAATTCTTCAACTAGGATCAAATTAACAGGCAATAACTTGAGGTGAAATGGTTGGAGATGTTTCCCGTTCATACCACTTTTCTCTCCATGTCTTTCTCTCCAAAGATTTTGACTGGGTATGGGATGAATTGAACAAATCAGCGAATACTCTTTTGACTTGTGACAATCGTAAGGTAAATTTCCACATGGATTACAGTTGTGGTACTGCTGCCATCCGGGGGAACAAGGAACTAGCAGAGGGTCAGCACTTCTGGGAAATCAAGATGACCTCACCCGTCTATGGCACTGACATGGTATGTTGGATAAAACCTGACAGTTTAAAAAAAAATGCAATAAGATTCATCAATAATTACATTTCAATGGTTTCTGTCACTGGAAGAGGAGGGGCAGGATTTATATTGAATACATTATGAATAGTTACAGTAGCACTGTTTGTTGTCTTTAATTTTTGTTTTTTAAGACCTATTTTGCTCCACCAGCTACAAACAATTTGTATCCATTTTTTCTTTAAAAAGAAATGCAGTCAGATACCACAGAGGATGATCAAGTATCAACAAAGCCACTATCTTGCTGGCACAAGTGCCAGATGGCATTGAATTGGTGCCAGTATAGGAAAAGGACAGGGACTGGATTTTAGTGTTGCGAGGTAATCGCGCTGCCTTTGTGAGAACTGGACCTTTTTGTGAGGAAACCACTTATATGCACATGGGCTGAGTACACAGTATACAGGTTGTTGTCCTTGTGTACAATCCCACCTAGAGTCATCACAGTTTTTCCATATAGTGTCTTTGCTGTCTGGATGTGGCAGTGTTGTGGGAGGAGACTGAATGGTCCATGGAGCCTTTTCAGTATATGGAAGATTTTGAAGTTCAAATTCTGGTATTTCTAGCTGAAGAAACTGTCAGATGATAAATAAATCTTAGAACAGAATAGTACTGGATTAAATGGCTAAATAAATCTGCTTTGTTTGTACAGAGTACTAACCCATACACTGTGATTTTTAAACCTCCAGAGATTGGGCTCGTGTAGCATGGTATGCTAAAAATCAGAAAGAATACATGACCATGCCCAACTTATAATGACAGTTTGTCAGTTCCAGTTGCAGTCATTAGGTGAATCACAATGGGTTATTAATTATGTCACACGACCTTGGCTTGTGACTTCCTGCTGGCTTTCCCATTGACATTGCTGCTTGGAAATCAGCTGAAAAGATACGAATAGAGATCACAGGACCTTGGGCTCCCGTGACAGTTGTAAATGTGTGCCAAGTGCCAGACACCCAAATTACAATCATGTGACCATAAGGATATGCCAGAGTTCTACCATGTACTATGGCCACGACCAAATCGGGTTCTGACCAAAAAAATTCAGAATTTTTTTGAATCTGGTCACAAGCACATACTGGGGTGGCGATCAAACACGACCCCCGACTCAGAAATTCTGAAGACAAAACAGAAGATGAAGAAGTTATGGAACGAATTATGGTCGTGACCAGAGGTTCTTCTGTATTCAGGGCTGTAATTATAATAATAACAGACTTTAAAAGTTCATACAACATTCAGTGCTGTCTTAACTTTGAGCAGTCACTAAATGAGTAGTTATGTATAGACTAACATTTGATCACTTTTGTTTTTCTTCCCCTCTAGATGGTGGGAATTGGAACATCAGATGTGAACCTGGATAAATTCCGTCACACATTCTGTAGCCTGTTGGGAAAAGATGAAGACAGCTGGGGTCTTTCCTACACAGGTAATAACAGCAAAGGTTTCGTTTATTTATATCTAGATTTTTAATTTACAGGTGAATTATTGCAGCTTACGCCTGAATACAAGAACTGTTTTCCCTGAAGTTTTGTGTGGATGTAACTGTCCCTTTTTAATAGTTGATTTGCAAATATTGTTCAGTTAACGTTAAGAGCGCATTTTCTGGCATCCACAGAGAAAGTTTGTTCCTCTTTATTAGAGACTGATTTCTAAAAATTGCTGGCAAAACACATCTCAGGCATTCTAGGCCTTGGGACTAGAACATAAAAAAAAAAAATTATTTGGACACTATTAAATGTTCACTTTATTAAATGTTATTTTAGGAAATGTGTTTTTAAATATCTAAAATGCCGTCGTGTAGAAATCACGCCAGGCTTGTTCTTTGTAGGTCTAGGAAATGGATCAATGGCTAAACGGTTTTGGTTTTTTTTGTGTGAAACTAATAAAAACTGCTGAAAGGAAATGGATTGTTTTAGAAGACCATGAACTTTGCTAGAGGGGTTTAGGTAAGCAGATAACTATCTGATGAGAATCTTGTTTTGCCTCTTGACTTACAAACTATCTTAAACAGGGCTAGATGAACTCTATATAGGGTCCTTTTTACCTTTGCAGAAATTAGAAACCTACAATGTTATAATTGCAAATGTCCCTTTCTCCGTAGGACTCATCCAGCACAAGGGGGAACGCAGCAATTTTTCAACAAGGTTTGGGCAGGGCTCCATTATTGGGGTGCATCTGGACACATGGCATGGAACTTTAACCTTTTTCAAAAACAGGAAGTGTATAGGTAAGGTGGAAGAGGCCATATATACTTTTAAACTAGTGAAATATGGGAAATATGTGGATAAAAGTTATGGGAGGATCTCTAAAAGGCAACAGATTGTTTTCCATTCCAAAATCAGACTGTTTATTTTAATAGGGGAGAGAGGATATCTTGAGGTACAGCCTCCTTGAAAGGACCACTTAAGTATTTACCTGATGAAAACTAACCTGCGTAGCATAATGTACACTAGAAGGGAATAATTATATTAATCTATTTAACAAATTGTTTGGGGGAAAGTGTATAGCAAATAAGATATGTGTAAAATGACTATAAGTCAGCTGCTCGGTTATTGGATTTGTCGATGTTCACAATTGGGTCCACAGAAAAGGACAACCAAACCATGCAGCTGTAAAGTATTTGTGGCCTAAAGTGGGAGATCTCATTGTAGAAATGCTAATGGAATAAAGGAAGTGCAACTGTACCCCCAGACAGTCTCTCCACCCCCTCCACCCCCCCATTCCATGCCTGCCTGTTAACCTTGGACTTCTTTGCTGACTTTGTGACTCAGGTGTGGCTGCCACCAAGCTCCAGAACAAGAGGGTGTACCCGATGGTGTGTTCGACTGCAGCCAAAAGTAGCATGAAAATCATCCGCTCCTGTGCTACCCCCACCTCTCTGCAATACCTCTGCTGCTACCGTCTCCGCCAGCTGCTTCCTGACTACGTGGACACGCTAGAGGTGCTTCCCCTCCCTCCAGGACTCAAGCAGATTTTGCACAACAGATTGGGCTGGGTGTTGAGCATGAACTGTGGCTCGCTCCAGTCCTCCTCCTCCTCCTCTTCCTCTTCTACCTCCTCAGGAAGTGATTCAGACAACTCTTGCGGCTCAGATGCTGAGGCACGCCATCGGAAGAGATGCAGGTGGAGGACTTAATTTATTTCCCCCCTTCAAAAGACAGTGTTGTCATGAAGGATAGGCTGTTCCCTCAGTGTTACCAAGTGACATTTTACCTTCCTGATTGTATCCTATCTGAACACTAAAGCCCATTTCAATCTACCATTAAAGAGACAAAGCAGTTTCCACAGCTTCATTGTACCACGTGGCCAGCAGGTCATCAACTCTGGTTTGCCATGTTTCCTGGAACAGGTTGTTCGAATGTCAGGCTTTCGGCAGCCCAGTGTATCAATAAGTAATCCTTCCTGCAGCCAAAGGAATGCTTGGAGAAACCTCCAAAGCTACCACAACGTGCTATGTGAATTGCAGTAAATGGCTCCAATGTTTTGGAGCCGAGGAGCAAGCAGGCTCGCCTCGATTTTCAGTGCTTTGGTATTCAGAAGAGAAAGAACGTTAACCTTTGACAGCATAAGTGGTATCATGTGAGCCCTGCAACTCTTCAACCTTCTTTGCATGTCTATTACTTCTCCTGTATTGAACTATACCCAAATGAATTAAAATATATGCAGACTGATCAGTGATGATAGGCTAGTCCATCCACCTTACTGTCCTCTCATCTCAGAGAATTCTAATCAGGGTCCCTAATTCTTAATTATCTGATCCAAACGTACATCAGGCTAGCAGTTGGAATGATGTGAATGAACTCCAGCTCTGGATGCCCCTGCTTCCTTCTGGATCTTGAGCCCTGCATTTTCTCTTTCACAGCCAGCTGTAATTTACTTATTTAGAGGTATTCACATTCCATGTATATTTTCTGGGGAGGTAAGTTTAAATATTCCAATTCTTCCTTTGATTTGTGTCATTAAAAACTTAACTGCAAGGATACACACTGGCAGGGCATTTTGCAGTTTAAAAGCCAGTATTGGTATGATCTTTCCCTAATGATGACTTGACTTATGGTTATGTGGGTAGCCAGAACAGGCTCTCTTGATATTTTTCATGTATGGATAAGCACAAGGGCAATGACATTCCCTTTGGTTTCTCCTACACTTAAATGCAAATGACAAAGTATGGTTCATTGTGAAAGGAGGTGTATGAAGGGAACAAAGCTGCATTGTTTTGTAATAAATCATGGATTAGTATTAATTTCTGAATTTAACCACTGTGTGATTTGGCAGTATAATAGATTCCCTTCCAACTCTCTTGTATCATCTGATTAAATGAAAGCGAACGCCGGGCTTTCGTTTCACGGAATTGATTACTCAACTGGGATTAAGATTGCACTAAAATAAGGGATTGGTGTTCCTTTTTTTAAAAAAAAAGTTTTCTATAGTTAAAATACCCATTCACTTTTATACACAAACTAGGTTCTCTCAAACATATTGCCACCAAGCCACATTATGGTTTAATGCATGAAACCCTCCCCCCAAATGTACCCAATTCAAACAAGCAGCATAATGATATATAATAGCGTAAAATAAATTATTTAGCAGAAGAATGGAAATTTAAAAAAATACACCGTCAAGAGAGGCTCATTGATAGCATTTGTGCACGAAGACATTTATTGCTTTTGCCAAACTCAGTTTCTGCAATAAATCCTATAGCTTCGGCAGTAGGTTATAAGGCTAAGGAGCTATGACCCAGTGGTCAGAACAGCACAGCAAGGTGCTTCAACAACTTAAATCTAGGACAAGCTCTGGATTTGTAGATACCATGAAAAGGTAGACCCGTCGAGACAGGTCTGGGCCGATCCGTCTCTCCGTTTTATTGTCCTCAGTTGTGACCTGGAGGTTGCTTAGGAGAAGTCGTCTTTCTGCCTCTGTATTGCATTCTTGGTAGGCCTGAAAGAAAGTGCCTGTGTGATGTTAATGCTAACCCCCTTTCTCCCTTTTAAAACTTAATTGTCTTAGAAAAGAGCTCTTGGTAGCAAAAGGCATGTAGTAAGCACGACTGGTTTGCTATGAGGAAATCAGATCTGGAGCAACACTAACAAGGCTTTGGTTAAGAAAAACTCAGCATTAGGTCTAAGTCCGGTGGAATTTATGAGTTTGTTTATGGCTTTTATCATTAAAGATCTGATCTACAATTTGTTTTCTTAAGGAGGATCCTTATGTAAACAAAACAGAAGCCCTGTGGCTAACAAGAAGCAAAAGAAACTGGCTGCATTGCATGGAAACAAAAGTTACTTTGAGGAGGAAAAAAAAACCCTAGCCCAGAAATGCTTCCTCACCCAGGAGAAGTCAATAGGCTTGGAATGATAAGAAACTGGCCATCAAAGAGAATAGAATGAAGTTTACTAGGAGCGGCTTATCCAGCCTTCACAGTAATCCTCGACAGTGCAACATCTAAACATCCCACTAGTATTTCTCCCCCTTGCTGAAATCTCTGCCTTTTCCTTGCGGCCTACATAATCCTACTCTGAGACAACAGAGATCTGACGACTCATTTAGCCCCTATTCTTGAGAATTACCTCCCTTGATTTCCCTTCCCTTCTCTACCGCCAAGACAAAGCAACTGGTGGAAGGAACTGACCCGCAGCAGCAGACTTGGCGAAGGGTAGGCTTGGGCAATAGCTGTTGCCATGGCTGGACTGACTCGGTTGAACTGCTGGATCTGTTTCCGCCAGGTCTCTTGGAGCCCTTTCCCGTCTTTGCCAACATGCACACCACTGGCCCACTTGCCTTTGGCGCAGAAGGAGAAAGGCTGCTTTTCCTGGTGTTTCCTGTCGAAGGAGCCATTATGTACCAGTTATACATAGGCTGCCGTTTTGGCTTGACCTGTCGGAACTGACCTCACAACAACCTGTTCCAAAGGTGGTCTTGAGTCAGACAGTTTCCATGCTGGTCAAAACGTCCCATTCCTAAAATTGAGCTGGGACTCGGTTTGGGGCTCAGAATGTTCCCTGCTAAAACATCATTTAACACCAAGTAGGTATTATCGATGGACTGTGTAACCCTAACCACTGCAAGCAAGGCAGAACCAAACAAGCAAAAGCATATTTTGTGACTTGTTCTAAATACAGTGCAGCGTAAATCAAGCCTGTAGCTGTATCAGTATAACACGAAACACTGAATATTTTTTTTTAAAGAAACAAATCTTACTGGTCCTGCAAAGATAAAGTCACACAAAAACCTCATTTACAGGTTAGATTTCTTCATGAAAGGATTGGCCTTTGGTTCTTACTTCACAGCTCCAAAGCATTGCCAAGGCAACATGACAACACTCACTTATAAGGACGCTGAGCTGCAGCTCTGGTCACTCCGGAAACATGCTGGGCCAATTCCTGCCACGTCTCCAGGAACAGGACATTGATGTTACCCTGGAGTTGCAACACCACGAGAGCCTGCAAAAGGAGAAAGTTGGAGAGAAACGAGAAGAAAAACACATTTGGCTTTTCTGCATATCTACTGAGGTTCCAGCGTTCAACACCCTTCTCGGCTGATGTTCAGGCGAAGACAAACTGGTAATTCCTGTTTACTATATCACCTTTGATGTGGTGTAAGGGTGTAAATTAAATCAGGCAAGGGATCTGAAGGATAACGCGGGTGCCCCAAAGAGTTTGGAGCCCTTTGTTGTGGTCGATAAACTCATTGCTATGTTTACCTCTTCAATTTGATGCCGTGTCATGGATTGTTCTGGACCAAGCTGTAATGTTTCATTCTCCAGTCCAGGGATTGGTTCTTCTTGCGGAAGCTGATGATACCTAGGTAATTCAGAGAAGAACCACAATTGGGGAATTAATATTTTGGTATAATGGTTAAAAGTACCAGGTTACAACCCAGGAAACTAGGTTCTTCTGTCTTAGCCAGCTGGCTAACTTTAGCCCAGTCTCTCTCTTTTTTTCCATCCTGGGAAGAAAGCAGCATGAAGCCACTTCCAAAATTCTTACTGCAGGGACTTGTTCAATTACCAGGAGTCAAGACTGATTCGAAGACACAAAATTATTTTTGTCAAGCTACTGTGGGGTTTGGAAACTTGCATGCAGGGAAAGCGTGTGTTAATTTAAGCCACCGTGGCATTTGAGGCTGTCGATAGTAAAGAATGAACTTGTCTTACTGTCTTTCTTCGTTAGAAGTGTTGCTGCTGCTTCCTACGAATCTTAAAATGAGCTTGAAAATGCTAAGCAGGATTAGATTGGTTAATACTTGGAAGGGAGGCAGCCAGGAAGTCCCAGCACTTTAAACAAGACTGGAAAGCTAAATTAACATCTGGCAGGAGGTAACAGAACCAGGAGACATGGTGCACTTGAATCTTCCTGGTCAGCATTTGAATTTGTTCTGTATTTAGTACCAGCTTACCCTTTGATCAGAAAGCCGGCTATATGGATGACATCCCAGAATCCTAAGCCCAGTTAGACTTACTACATTCCTGCCTCAAACAGCTTCAAGTGAACAAGCACAAGCAAGACTCTTTCCACATTTTGAACCAATTTTCCCTAGTCAAGTGAGGAATAGCGTGTTATACTATCCATTTCCAATCTTTATGGGTAATCTGCACTATCATAAAAAAAAAAGCAATTCAAGATTGTCATAAAACAAACTAAGGTTCAGAGATGAAGACCTACAATTCTGTATGTCAAGGACACTGAGACTTTTAGCTTCTTAGGATCTACAGTTCACACACATAACTTGACAATGCTTTTGGGACCCACAACTCACATAGCCCTTCCAATCCCATGTACCATTGGTAGGTGTTTAGTCCAATGACAACCACGCTGTAAGGTATTATAGAAGGGTCTTTCAAATTTTGAAAGGGACACAGATGAATAAGATCTGGTACACCCTGCTGGCCATCAGGACTTGCATTCTAGAATTAGAACAAGATTTTAGAATCAAAAATTCATCTACCACTTTTACATATGAATTTAAAAACTATTTTGGATTCCACTGGTGAAGGAACTCCAACCTCAAATGTGTTTAGTGTTGTTGTTTTTTACACAAGTGAAAAATACAATATTAAACTCAGGTAACTGCTCTAGAGTCATTTTACCAATGGTTATCAACAGAATGAACCTTCCCTGATGTGCTTTTTGAGGTTGGGATCTTGTGATGGATTCTTAGCATAAATACTGTCATAGTTGTTTGTTATCTGAACCTTTTTCTTTTACGTTAATACCCACCACTTGGCGATCTTTCTTGCCTCAGTTGAGTATATTTGTGTCCTATTTCCAGATGCCAGATTTTGAATGTTCTTACTTTTAAAACAATTCCCGGGGTTCTAATCTTTCCTGAATTAAAATCAAACTAGATTTTTAAAAAAATATATACATGAGTGGCCACTTAAAATTGCAACTATAGTATGCTAGCACCTATTACATGTCACTTACAAATTTGAACAATAAACTGATGCAGAGCACAGGAACCCTTTTACTCTCCTGGCTGAGTCTCTGCAGTGTAGGATTTTTGTAATGTAAGAAATAAAAATCTATTCTATCCTTTTTTTCCCCATCATACACCTTGGCTCATATTTTTCCCCCTTGCTCACCTTTTTCGCTTAATGATTCCAGTACTGTCCTCTTGGATTCTGCCTGCTGCCAATCTAGCTTTCTATTGCATTTCCTCTCAATTATTAAGCTTCATCTCCCTAGGTGTCTGGAAATGAGATAAAACTCTGAAACAAAGCATCTCCTCCTCCTCCTCGTCCCCATGATATAAGGCATAAGAAGCAGAGAATCAAGGCAAACTCAGCAATGGGGGCCAGTTAAAAACGGAGCAAAAGAGGACAGTTAAACAACTGGGAAGGAAAGCCTTGCCATTCATATTTGTATTCACAAATATTAAGGTACTATACAGCACCTGCATTGATGACGAAAGTTGTCTGAGGAAGTATGAAGGCTGCATCACTAGCAGGACCTCCCTTTCCACTGCAATCTCTTCTTGACAACCGTCCTGCGGAAATAAAGTTAATCTTTTGCCAGAAGGGAAAAAAGAATAGTTTTGCTACCTCAAACTAAGAAAATCTGCTCCCAACAGTGGTTTGCAGAAGCAGATCCTTAAGGTGCTCTTAGTTTTAGTTTCCTTCCACCTCATGCTTGCATTCTCTTGTTTGTCCTCATGACTTTCAAATTGTTTTAAAATTCAGAGTCATAGACCAGCTCATATTCGGTTTTTAAGTGCAACAGCCCAAAGATGTCCATTTATAGCAACAGTTGCTATAAAATAAAAACACAATTATAAAAAACAGTTCTGATGAAGTGTTTGACTGTCCTCGCCTTTTCAAATCAACAAACTTTACTAGGTAATGCTAGGATTTAAATATATGGGTTTTAAATACTAGGGAGTTTGGCAAGTTAGACTGATTTTAGCTGAACAGCCACAGAACTATTAAAATCAGTGAGTTTCATAGTTGCCACACATCCATTAGGGAACAAATAATGGTGTAAATGGGACAACCCCAACAAAGATTGAGTCTGGGACTCTTGTTATATTATCTTCCTTATCTGTTTCTTCTATTCTCTGAGCAGGAATTTAGCAGCTATGGCAAAACAGATGAATGGAACAGCAGTAATCCACATCATAGGAGCATAAGCAGCCCTTCACAAACATGGCTGTCCTCAACTTCCAATTCTAATCCAAATATGTTGCTGAATTTCCTTTCCAAGAGCCTCAGCAATAATGTGTTTTATCAGAGTTGGGCCAATTCTCTTCGATGTGATGCAGAGGCAACCCTAAAGGAATGCAAACCTTCAAGGACTATGAAAAGTAGATGAGCAGAGCAAGGAAGCGCTTGTAAGACACAAAAACGCACACAGTCTTGTTTCCCTGGCTATCAGTGGAGTTTTGGTTGAGATACTTACTGAACCAGACGTACTGCTGAAGACTTTTCTCTTCCAGGTTATGCTGTGTGGAATGATCTGATGCTCAATATGGTATTCACAGTCCAAAGAATCCAAAACTTCCAGCAAGATATCAGAGCCAGGGTGTTCTAGAAGACCTGAGGAGAAAGCATAACAAATTGATCATTGGATGGCACCTCCACTCTACAGCGTGGTACTATGCGAAACCCCATCCTCTCTAATCCCCTCTTGGTAAAAGGGGAATGCAGCATGTAGAGATGGGTTGGTGTAGTGTGTAAGGCATCAGATGGCCACTAGAGGATGGAAGGCTTGAGTTCTAGTGGCCACCTCAGGCACAAAGCCAGAGGAGTGACTTGGGCCCAGTGACTGTCATCACCCTAGGAAGACGACAATGGCCAACTGTTCGCAAAAATCTTGCCAAGAAAAGTGCCATTTTGGTATAATGGTTAAAGGCTAGAAACGAGACTGTTTTTAAATTCTAGTCCTGCTTTAGGTGTGAAACGAGCTGGTGTTTTTTCTGAAATCTTTCTAAGAAAACTGCAGGGACTGGTGTAAAGGCACCAAAAACACCAAACCAAAAGTAGAAAGGAATACATCATGCAGTGTAAACCTACTACCTGAATCCACACAGACAATCATTTGCTTCATGCATTGATCAGGCCGAAGGAATTTCAAGGCAGCAGCAGCTTCTTTCCGTCTCTCTTTCTCGGCAGCAATCTGCTGCTTTATCTTCATTTTCTCTTCTTTTTTGTGCATGCTCTTCTTTTTTCCTTCTGTTTTTATCTGGGCCGTCTTGCTTTTTTCCAGGGACTGCTTTTTCTTTTTTTCCTCAGGCCTTGAATTACAGGATACGGTTGGTGTCAATGGTATAAGCAAAGGAACTGCTTTTGCTTCAAGAGGAGCCATGCTCGTCTCTAATTTTTCTTTGTCTGAGCAACCGCGAGCTCCAACATCTGAATAATTCGCAAAAGCAGTCGAGGATTCTTGTTTAACATCACTGTCATCTTCAGAATCAGAGATTTCCCACGTGATCGCTCTTTTTCCATCAAGAGTAACAGTCTTCTTTTTTCCCTCCATGATTTAAGTTTACCCTCTTGCTAGTCTACATTATTAAGTGCAAATGTTAAATCGGCAGCAGCCACCCAACCCCAGATATGTTTTCAAAAATATCAAAATCTGGGCATCATTTCAGGAAATTGTAAGAAAGCTTATATATGTATTAGCGGTAAAAAAAACACATTCTTGGCAATAATAAACGGCGAATGGTCATTGCCAAAACACTCTCCAAGTACCCTAATTAAATGTTGGCAACAAACTCAATTTGATTGGAAAGCCAGGCTCGCCTGATCTCTTTTCATTAATAGAAATAGTCTTTTTCAAATCAAATCGTACTATCTCTCACAATTTGGATCCTGTGGACGTGGATACCGTCAATAGAAGCCAATTTATTTATACAATCTCTGCCCCTGAAGTTTCTACACTTTTTCTTAAGTTTGTTTACGCAGCCGAGCAAAGCTTTCCCCACATCACTAGGCATTTCTACCAATGCAGCAAGAGCTGATCAAAGGTTTTATCTGGGTCGCTTGAGTAGGGCTACGTTAGAGAACATTGTGGGACATCGCTGGGGGGCGGGGGGAGGGAATAAAAGGCAGCAAGGAAGCCACACGTCCAGAGTCTCCCTCGGGCATAAAAGCTACAGCAATTCCAAGCCTGGGAACGGAATAAGAGAATGCATTTCATTAACAACGACGGGTATATATAGGTAACGTATCATTCCATCCATTGAGAAAAGGTCCTTTACGACTTGGAGCTCGCAGCCAAAACGACCATCTCGCCGAAGAGGGAAAACGGCAACCAAACACGAGAAGAAGCAAAGCAGCTCGGAGGAGTCACCGGGATCATCCTTCAAAAAATAAAAAAATAAAATCGTTTTACGAAAGGAGCGGAAGTGTTATCTGCCGGACCGTTTATAGCGATGGCCCGCCCTTTCACCCGCGTCGCTAACTAACCTAAGGCCGGAAGCAAAGGGGCGACTGTGCGTGGGCGGCCGGATGGTTTTTTAGGGACGGACCAACCTCGGCTGAATTGGAGACTATACAAAAAAAAAAAAGATACCAGGGCGGAAGTGTTCCTCGCCGAGCGTCATGTAAGTTTGCACCGTCCCTTCCTGGAGCGTCTTGCGAAGGTTTGGGATTCAAGCCCCAGCCTGAGGAGGGGCGGAAGTGAGGCTCGGGGGAGGATTTAGGGAGGGGGACCGCCCTTGCTGGGAGCGGTGCCTTTGAGCTGCCGGGGGAATCGGGAGCAAGAGAAGGAAGCCCAGGGCTGCTTAAAGGAGCGAGGTATTTGCTGAGCTGCAGGGCTCCCCTGGTCTCCCCAACGACAACAACCCCGCGAGGTCGGCTGGAGAGAGAGAGAGAGAGAGACCCACCGTCTCAGAGCCGGCCAGGGGTTTCCGGGACAGCCGTTTGTCCATTTATAGCAGAGGTCTCCAAACTTGGCAACTTTAAGACTAGTGGACTTCAACTCCCAGAATTCTCCAGAGAGTTGAAGTCCACAAGTATTAAAGTTACCAAGTTTGGGGATCCCTGATTTATAGTCTCTCCTACTCCAGCAGGGGTTTGGACTAGAAGATCTCTAGGGTCCCTTCCAGCCCTACTATTGCTGTATGTCAAGGGTCTTCAAACTTGGCAAGTTGAAGACTTGTGGATTTCAACTCCCAGAATTCCTAAGCTAACTTGACTGGAGGAGGAATTCTGGGAGTTGAAGTCCACAAGGCTTAAAGCTGTCAAGTTTGAAGAACCTCTGCTCTATCTGAACTTGCAGAAGGAAACGAAGATATGCTTTGGCGGCATTGGGTTGTGTTAATAGAATAACGCAAGAACTTGTCTAAAATGGGTAGATACTAGTAGAACTGCAGGCCCTTGCCCAGACAATCGCCAGGAGTCAAGACTACGATGAAATAAATGGCAGGAGTATCACAAATGTTCGCCACCAAATATATATATTTATAAAGGCAGGATAACATCAAAAGCCATAACAATAGTGATATAATAGATACCCACATCCCCTAATCTCTGCTGAAGATGTTACCTGGCCTGGTGACGAAATGTTTGGAAACTCGCAAGCTACAAGTCAGAGCGCGAACCTGATAAGTCAAATAATAATTCCATAATAGTATAATTCCCCAGGTGACAGAAGGGGTGCTGCGGTTGCATTATGGGACTATGCAACCCTTGGGTAATTTTGTTTCAGAGTGCTGAAATCCAGAAAATGACAATATTGATATTTATCGAGTCAGCTGCAGATTCTGTGTCTGTATGTGTGTGGCTTTTTACCTTTCCCAAGTGGGAATTCCCAGGAGTTTTCTGCGTCCTCTTTTATCCTCTTGGCTTCTTTGTAAGATAGACTTCAGAGGTGGCATTCAGTAGGTTCTGACTAGTTCTGGAGAACTGGTAGCGGAAATTTTGAGTAGTTTGGAGAACTGGGAAATACCATCTCTGACTGGCCCTGCCCCTATCTCTTCTCTGCCTCCCGAGTCCCAGCTGATTGTCTGGGTCTTCTTTGGTTGCCCTGCACAGGAGAACAGAGCTGGAAAGCAGGTTAGCGGGGTGGGGAGGGAAGGGGGATTTTGCAGTAACCTTCCCCCAGAAGTGGGATTTTTGCGGTATCCTTCCCCTGCCACGCCCACCAAGCCACACCCACAGTACCGATAGTAAAAAAAAAAAAGAATCCCACCACTGATAGGCTTGATTGGATGACAGTTTCCCTGGTCAGCTGTGTGGCAGGTGGTAGATTTAAATCGTTCTCAGCCTTTGAACGGCTAACTCTCCTGTGTTCTCTCTCCATAGGCAGCGATGGGCCGTTACATGGGATATCGCCCGATTGCAGCCAAGGCCAAGAAAATCCGTGAATACCGGGCTTTAAAAAACCGACCTCGTGACTCCCAGCGTTATGCGGTGGATTATGAGAACATGACCCGTGCTTTCACAGGCAAACGCCTCCCTGTGCTGGCCTGGGAGGATGTGAGGAATGAGAACCGCCTTTTTACGCTGCTCTCCCGGTTGCACCTCTTTGGCATTGGCCGGATGGTCACACGCAAATCCTGGCTCTGGGAATACGATGAGCCTTGTTATTGGGTCATTACTAAAATAAAAGTCGATTATACAGCTGAGGTGAGTGTTTTCATTGGTTGGGGAAAGTTCAGGCATCCTAGTTCGTTTAGTGACTTACGACTGTTTTTCACACAATTGTTGTGGGATCTCCATGATTATGAAATCAGAATTCAGATGCTTGTCAACTGGCTTATATTTATGATGGTTGCAAGGTCCTGGGGTCATGTGATCACCCACTGCGACCTTCTGACAAGCAAAGTCAATGGAAAAGACAGATTCACTTAACAGTCATATTACTATCTTAACAAATGTGGCAAAAAAGGGTTGTAAAGACAGGGCAAAACTCACTTAACAAATGTCTCGCTTAGCAACAGAAATGTTGGTCCTCATTTATGGACCTAAGTCAAGAACTACCTGTATACCGATTATTTATTCATTCATTTTATTTTATTTGTAAAATGTATTAGCTGCCCATCTTATAAGAAGGTAACCCTGATCCGCTTAAGATATTAAAAGATGAATGTGCAAAACCTAATGATATAAATAAAAAGTCAACCTAGCTAAAAAAGATGGGAGCAGGGGGGGAAGTGAGGGAATAAGATGAGAAGAGGAGTGGGTGGGAATGTGTTGTAAACCTATCACCCACCCCCAATGTGAAAGTGCTTTGTTGGAGCCTCGAGCCAACTGACAGAGCCAGGTTTTTAAGCTCTTACTCGTCTTGAATGGACTATAATCCTTGGATGTTCTTTGTTGCAGAAAATGGAGTATGGAAAGGCTTGGGGATACCTGACATTTAGAGGTAAGGGAAGATTTGCTTTTATGGGCGAAGATTTCATGATGAAGCCTACAGCAAGGACGAGGTCTTGTGAGATAGAGCAGCGAGGGCAAATCTTTTGGGCTCGGGGGAAGTCAAAAATTAAGAAATGCCTATCTTGATTCTGCTGGAAATGCACAGTCCAATCGTGTGTGGTGCTATATATTACATAAAGAAACAAAAAAAAAATTCCAAAGATGAAATAAGTAAAACAAACCGCATGCAGTCTAGGTTTTCAAGTCTTTCTTTTCACGGTATGTTCCATCCTGGCAAGATTTGCCTGCCTAAAAGAACCTCTCTTCATCTTCTCAATTGCTTCTTAGGTAAGCCCGAAACCGAAGAGAAAGAAATAGACAAAGTAATGTACCACGACTGGCGAATGGTACCAAAACATGAGGAGGAAGCCTTTAAGCAATTTACCCCTCCTGAGGAAGAGGAAAAAATCCGGTATGTCCTCTATCCACCACTGCTGAGGGCCATGATCCTTGCACAGAGGCAGAAAGAAGGTAAACTGACTGATGAAGAACCCATGCTTGATTTGGAGCGAGCTGTTCACCTCCTAAATACGCCCCCCAGAAACCAACCTGAAGGGACTCCAGTCTGAAGACTTTTAGAACTTCGATACGGCTCTTGGTTTGTTACATTCTCAGCCCAACTTTCCTATTCTGCCTTGCACTGAGATGTTTCCGTGAAATATGATCCTGTCACTGAGGCTGGACGGGGGGAAAAAACCCCCACCAGCAATAAGTAAAATTATATGATAATTTTGCTATCAGAATCTTCCATTGACATTTCTCCCATTGTCCTTGCCTTATTTTTTTTAGATTTGTTTTTATTTCCCATTGCCGTGTTTCTTCTTGTTGCTTCCTTATCACGTCCAAGAAAAGGACATCAATCTATTTTAATAATGAGGCAATATAAAGAGACTCCTAATTAAAATAATCGATTGGAACCGAGATTGATCTCTGTTCTAGCCCGGCACCATCTTCCTCCCCTAAATCCAGTCACAATCTTAAAATGTGATGTTGTGTTACTGTTTGCCAATTAAAAAGAACAAAAATAGGCTCAGTCTGTATTTTAAGAAGTGGCATTGCTCTTTCCTGTCTTTTCAAATGTATTGGTGAAATGAAACAGGCTTGTTACGAGGAAAATAAGAGGAGGAAGCAGTATTAGGTACGTTCGCCTCCTTGAGTTATTTATCAAAATAATAAAAGCAGGATACAAATAAATAAAATAAGAAACGGGAACAATGAATTTGGGCCAGAGCTTTCCAACAGATGGACATTATGAACTGGATTGGTGGAGAACTGGTGTCACTCCTGAATGGAAGCATTTCCTTGTCCAGCACTGCATTGCCGCATCACTAATTTTTACATGCGTGCTTCATGTAAGTTTTAGTGTCTCTAAACATCTCCACTCTTTACCCCAGAGCTTGTTAACAATAAGATCACCACATTAGAAAGTACTTGACTATAAACCTGTTGGGATCTTGCTTACCTCTTACAGTGGCCCCCACTGGAAATGTTCATGAAACTTCTTTTCCAAAAGTAATAATTGGCTGTCTTTGCTTTTCTTTTTAATGTGTGACTTAATTTCATTTTAAGGGCAGAAACAATCACCTCAGCAAAGCAGGGAGGGGTTGAGATTGATTGACTCCTGATCTGCATAGTAATAGGGGTTGCCCTGAAAAGCTAATAAGGTGCTTTTGGTTGATTTTTTTAAAAAACGATAATCTTGATACATCCATTCAGTCGTGTCTGACTTTTTTTTTTTTTAATATTACACAATTAACTTACGTTAACTGAATTGCAGAAGAGTTGCTGAAAGATTGAACCGACCAAAAAGCTTTGGAGACCTTTTTCATCTTAGAAATCAGGAGCGAGATCTTTCTCTCTCTCTCTCTCTCTCTTTTTTTTTTGTGGCTAACTAATAAAAGATTTTGAAGTGCCGTTAATCCTCAACTTACGACTACAATTGAGGCCAACGTTTCTGTGGCTAAGCAAGGCAGCTGTTAAGTGAGTTTTGCTTTGTTTTACAACCGTTTTGCCACAGTGCTCAAATGAATCACTGCCATTGTCAAGTTAATAACGTGGTTAAATGAACCTGGCTTCCCCATTGACTTGGCTTGTCAGAAGGTGATTCCCATGGCCCTGGGACACTGCAGCTATCCTAAATATGAGCCAGTTGTCAAGCATCCAAATTTGTGACCACTGCAGTGGTCATAACTTGTAACTTTCTCCAGTACCGCTGTAACTTTAAAATGGCCACTAAACGAAATCAAGGATTATCTGTATATTTTTTTATTTTTGTAAACTGCCCATAGTCACTGCGCTTGGATGTATAGCTATACACATATTCTTTCATATATAAATAATAATCTTCCTGAACTTCACAGGATATAGACCAGTCTTCTAGATTCTGTGGTCTGGAGGTATCGGAATTTAGTTGCCACTAGCTCCCGCCATTATGTCCAAGGATGCTGGAATCTAAGCCTTGGAGAGTTAGTCCACCACAATATCCACATCTGGATTAAGTTGGGAGTGGTTTAAGATTTATGCTTAAAGCAGAAGGAGGAGTGTGAAAATAACACTATTTTTAGTCTGTGTATCGGTGTTACTTCTTGAGAATTACAAGAAGAGATTGGACTGTCCATCAGAAATGCTGTAGGGTCTCCCGCTTGCATGGGGGGTTGGACTAGATGACCTACAAGGTCCCTCCCAACTCTTGATTATCTGTTGTCTGTTGAAACATAATGCTCCTTTTCCATTTAGTTAATACAACACACTCATTCCATCAAGCCTCTTTAGCATTCTGTCAGCCATCTCCCCTGTTAGGAAGTTTAATTTTCTCCAATGAGAAAGTAATTTGATCAGAAAACTCGGCAGACTGACAATTAAAAAAAACATTTTTGTATTAATTTGAAAGCTGCGAATGTGGGATTTTAAGGCGGTGTGATTGACTTTTCTAATCACTCTGCTTGTTGCATCCTATTAGAGCCGAGGAACGTAGCCGCAATCATTTACACAATAAAAAAGGGAGGGAATTACAGTTGCTGTTATTCACCCCTTTGCAAAACTACCTTGGTTTTAATGTTGTGGGTTGGGAGGCCCCAGCTACCACAATTTAAAAGATGGTGTCTCGTGTGTACGGAGAAAATTGGGTTCATTGAGTACAACACTGTCCCGAAAACTTGGAAGATTAAGTCTCTGGTCCCAGTGACTGACCCAGATTGGATCCTGAGTACAACATAGTTTAAAATGAGGAAATATTTGGGTAAACAAGGCTTTGGATCCAGCTGAGCTCTTTAGTTTTGGAGAAGTTATAATTAGGTAGCCCTCGATTTACCATGATGATGAGCCGTGGTGGCGCAGTGGCTAGAGTGCAGTACTGCAGGCTACTTCTGCTGATTGCCGGCTGCCTGCAATTTGGCAATTCGAATCTCACCAGGCTCAAGGTTGACTCAGCCTTCCATCCTTCCGAGGTGGGTAAAATGAGGACCCAGATTGTTGGGGGCAAGAGGCTGACTGTAAGCCGCTTAGAGAGGTCTGTGAAGCACTGTGAAATGGCATATAAGTCTAAGGGCTATTGCTATTTTTCCTTCCTTCCTTCCTTCCTTCCTTCCTTCCTTCCTTCCTTCCTTGGTGCGCAGCGGGTAGAATGCAGCATTGTAGACTAAGTCTGGCCGCTGCCAGGAGTTCAATCCTAACCAGCTCAGGGTTGACTCAGCCTTCCGTCCTTCAGAGGTGGGTAAAATGAGGACCCAGATTGTTGGGGACAAAGAGGCTGAAAACCTCTTAGAGAGGGCTGTAAAAGCACTGTGAAGCGGTATATAAGTCTCTTGCTATTAACTACTGTCAGCATCTCTTCAGTCACTCAATTAAAAACCTTGGCAACTGGCATGTACTTATGACTGTTGCACTGTCCCAGGGTCACGTGATCATCATTTGTGACCTTCACAGTTGGCTTGGGTAGGGTAAGATTCACTTAATGATTCACTTAACAACTACAGTGGTTTGCTTAACTATAGCAAAATAGATCATAACATTGGACACGACTAGCTTAGCCATCACCATGTTTAGCAAGGAAAATTCTGTTCTCAATTGTGGTCGTAAGTCGCGGACTCTATGGATTTTTTTTTTTTTGTTAAAGCCTCTTTGCTGGTATCATAACCGAACACATTTGTAGCTGGCCATTCTTTGATTGTTGGCAAACCACCTTTATTTTTTTTCCCTTCCCCTTCCTTTGGCTGTTTATCAAAAGCGAACAAAATACTTTAATTCCTTTGTGAAGGCTGTCTGGAGGGTTAATGAATTAATGTCGTGTCAAGTGCTCTGAAAATTACAACTCTTTACAGGCTCTTTAGCGGTGGCAGAGTGCTGCGGTGAATAAGCAAGAAGGCTGCAGTTTGTCTAGTTTTGATGCAAAAGCTTTTCAAACTCTCGACCTCTTCCCCTTCTTTAATTTCCCCTGGTTTGCAGAGGAGGACAAAAGCTGCCAAGAAAATACACACACACACACACACACACATTCCCCAGAGAAGAGATTTTGTTTTAGATGGAAATAATAGCAGTAATCATTATCCTCATCGGCATACCTGGAAATATATTAAACTACAGCGCTGCCTTCCCCCACCCAGTTGGAGAACAAACATCAGTACTCTGCAGAAATAGGATGAAATGTATACGCGGTGGTATTAATAGCACATCTTCTCTAGTGGTAATGAACCAAAAGTTGGACTGATTTAATAAGAGAAATTCGAACCGGAATGGCTTGAATGGATGCCTGCATATACGTATAGCAACTGCTAGATGGCAGCAGGGAGATCCTGAGAACCTTCATCTTCACTGCCATCTAGTGGTTTTCTGTTTTGTTTTGGTTTTTTTGCAGCCTAGATATAACAGCTGCAATATAATACACAGCACTTGATACTGGACAAAGAATGCTGAATACTGACACATTCATATGCAATAACTATTATATGTCAGCAATTAATAATTGACAAGATTAACCCAATGAGAATTAATGAATAGATTATTTAACAAACCATGGTTGGCTGGCCAAACAGCATACTGGGGCTATGTTCACAAGATATCCCAAACCACGATTTGCTACTTAAAAGTTTTTCAACAAGCCACCGTTGGTGGCATTTGCATTTACTCGAGCAGGGGGTTGGACTAGATGACTTCCAAGGTCCCTCCCAACTCTGTTATTCTAAGATTCTATGATTCCACCCACTGTGCTGTAAACTGGTTCGCAAACCACAACGTCTCACTCATACAATATGCTAAGATGAAATCACAGGGAAATAAATTCAGATTGGATATTGGGAGGAATTTCCAGGTGAGAATACCAGTGGAATAGGTTGCTTCGTTGGGTGGCATGTCCTACTTCATTGGAGGTTGTCCACAGAATGGATCACCATTTGCTTGAAATGCTTTACAGCTCTTGCACTGAGCAAGAGGTTGGACTAAATGAGATGCCTTTTCAATTTATTTATGAATTCTATGAAAACCGAAGAAGTCACATTTTCAATGGGTGTAGGTCCATGATGGCAAACCTATGGCACGCCTGCCATCGGTGGCACGCAGAGCCATTTGTGCTGGCACGTGAGCCGCAGGCAAACTTACCTCACTGTGCACACCTCACAACTGATTTTTGGCTTGTTTGAGGCCTATTTTGGCCTCCCAGAGGCTTGAGGAAAGCCTTTGCAGGCCGAAAAATAGCCCCGTTTTGTCACTTCTGGTATTTCCGGAAATACCGGAAGTGACGAAACGGGCCTATTTTTCATCCTGCAAAGCCTGCAGAAGCTTTCCTCAAGCCTCTGGGAGGCCAAAATAGGCCTCAAATGGGCCGAAAATCAGCTGGGAGGCTCACTGCAGGTAAGGGGGTGGGGGGGATTGCACATGCATGTACAGGGAGAGGGTGGTGCGTGCGTGCACCGCCTTCTGGGTGCTGGCATGCGCCCAAGCGCGCACACAATTTTTGGCACAGGAGCCCCAAAAGGTTAGCCACCACTGGTGTAGGTTATTCTAAGACCCAGCTGAACAGCCTACGACGGAAAACCTAGGAAAAATATGAACAAGTGCGTTAGATACGACAACAATCATAACAAATACTGATAGTCCTCTACTTGCCACCACAATTGAGCCCAACATTTGTGTTGCTAC